TGACGAGGCATGCCCTGAGGATGCATTCCTTGAGGATGCATGCCCTGAGGATGCATTCCTTGAGGAGGCATTCCCTGGGGATGCATGCCCTGAGGAGGCATTCCCTTCATCATTCCTGGATGAGGCATTCCCTGTGGAAATCCGTGCGGTGGCATCATGTGCTGAGGATGCATTCCATGCGGCAGTGGCATACCCTGCTGCATCATTTGAGGAGGAGGCATGGCCATGCCCTGTGCGGCGGCGGATGCTGCCACAATGGCCGCTGCTGCGGCTTCTTGATTCGGCACCACGACGGAATTGCGAGGTGTTTTGGTGGGCAATGACTGCTGCTGTTCCTGAGGCACTTTTTCTTCTTCTGATTTTATGGAAACCTTTCCCATCATGGGAATATCGTCGTCGTCATCGTCTTCCTCCTTGACATTGACAGCCACGACAGCTGCCTCGGCTTCGGAAGCAATAATAACAGAATTTCTGGGAGTCTTGGGAGGCAGCTTTTTCTTGGCTCCACTAATGTTGGCTCCTTCCTGAATGACAACCGAATTGGATGGCGTTTTGGGCATCGGTTTTTTCCCGGGGATCGAAGGAGGAATGGCCCCTGGTAAGAGAGCAGATGCCAAAGTGGCTGCCAAATCTTCGTGCTCCTTGGAACTCGCCGTCGTAGTACCAGCACTTGCTGTCGCTTCTGCTGCTTTTGGCATTCCAGGTGGAGGACCTCCTCCTCCTCCTCCACCGGACAGTAATCCAGGTGGAGGTTTCAGCGTGGCCTTTTCCGTGGCATCGTAGTCTTGTGCTTCTGCCAAGAACCCAGGTGGCAAGGAAGGTGCGACGGCTGGCTTGTGGGCTGCCTGCTGCTTTCGCACCGTATCCGCCGCCAGAAAATCCTGATCGAGCGACAGAGCGGTAAACTTTTGGAGGGATTCCTTCCAGGCATCAGCCGGTGCTTGTTTGGTGACGGTCACTTGTCCCAACAATCCTACGCCTTGAATGGCCTGTTGTTGTTGCTGCTGTTGTTGAAACTGCTGTTGACCACTCACTACCATGGACGCTGCCGAGGGGACAGGAGGCAATGGCAGAGACGCAAAGGGACTGGGAGTCGTCGTTGTAGTAGTGGGCTCACCACTGTCCAACTGCGACAACTCCTTCTCCAACTGTTCCAACGATAGCCACCCGTCGCCTTCGCCATTGTCACCTTGAAGATCTGCCAACAGATCTTTCATTAGGCTACCGCCCAGACTCTGAAACAAATCGTCTTCCATCTTGATACTCTACTATATCACCATGCAACTCCTAAGCTCACACAAGGAGACCCAAGATGAATGATGATGCTTCGTCAAAGATCGTGTGGCTTTGGCTGTTTGGCTCCAGCGCCAACTAATGTAACCTGAGCCCTAACATTGTCATAAGCAAAAATTCGGCTTGATCATTCGATTGAAACCTTCAATCATCGATGGAATTCAATCGAATGAATCGAATCGAATCGACAACCAACTCAATCAGCTTGAGGCTTGGCTTGTGCGCGTGAGTTTCTTGCATTGGTCTTGTGCAGCCCTTGGAGGTGGATTATCTACAGGCAGCTTCGGTTTTAAAGATTCAAACGCGTGCCAGGTTTTCTCCTACACTTCTACGAGTGCTCGAGTAGAAGTGTACCAGGGAGGTCGGCACGCGTTTGCATCAATACAATCGAAGCTGCTCGTACCGTACTGTACCGTACGGCAGCCCTCCTTGCATCGTTACCAATTACACGTATGGTACCAATACCGGTACCGGTAGCCACTGTGACATCGTAGTCAGAGTGTCAGGTTATTTCAATGGTTTGACACAAGAAAGATGAAAGCAGGAAAGCTGATCTGCAATCTGGAAGAGAGAAAGTCACCCAGCCAACCAGTAGCAGAGAAAGAGACATCTAGTAGCCAGCTCCGGAGCTCCGGAGGAAGAGGGCTTCTTTTTGTAACGGAGGAAACGAGGAAACCTGACAAAGCAATAGTAGCAACCAGAAACCAGCTAGCTAGCCATCGAAGAAAGGAGGAACACAACAGCATAACGGTCAAAGGTGTCTCTATGGCTATGGGCAAGCGGGTGCACGGAGCTGTGCAGCTGTGCACAGCAGGAATCTACAGTATGTTGTGGAAGTCTGCGGCTGGCACTTCATCAAGTCCGACATCTCGCTCATGATTTCTTTGGTGGATGTCAGCAACTTGTACGGTACAGTACCAGACATCTGACTACCGTACACAAAGCTACAAAACAGCCCAAAAGGTAGGGAATCCAGCTTCCTTGGGACTCTCTCCTATCTCTTTTGAGTACTGAGCAGGGAACAAGTCATCTCTTTTGAAGATGGCTTCCGCGCATCCATACAGTATGGGGACTACTATTGGTACGATTGTATATTTCTTTTTTCTTTTACGCTCAACCAGGACGCCAGCTGAGGCTTGGTCTTAACAGAGTTTTTCGCACCTTCGCCGCTTCGCCGTTACGTCAGCTAGGACACCAAGCATGACTCAACGGCGAAACTTTAGCTTCTTTCCCAATAATGGAAGCTGTTTTAAAGGTCGCGAAGGTAAAGTTTCGCCATCTAAGTAACCATGCAGCCCTTAACTAATAGATGATGTTGCGAAGCCAGCATGCCTCCCAAGATGGCATGCCGACTTCGTCCGCCACTTCTCCACAAAATTGTCCATTCTGGCCTATTATCCACATTGTCTTATCCACACGGTATAGTATTGGTGCTTTTTCGTGCATTATCTAAAATGGAGTCTTTCTTTGAACTTAGTGCTAGCGCTGGCTCAGTTGACGCAGATGTACTGTTGTTGACCTTGATAGTTGTTGCTGTATTGAAGCTTTTTCCAGTTAACAGGGCCAAATCTCTGTATGAGCAACGGCTTGCATGGGAGCAGTATAGCCAGAGGCATGCTGCCCGTGGTACTTTTGGCAGACGTCTTCGCATGGAAAAGGAATCCTTTGACATCCTACTGAATTACCTCTACAATGATCTCCTTGTACGCGAGACGTTTGCCAACAAAAGAGGAGGACCCATACTACCAGAAATCTGTCTGTACTGTACTATTCGATGGTTGGCTGGTGGTTCTTATTTAGATATTTGTGATATAGCCGGACTGTCCAAGGCCTCTTTCTACCGTGTCATTTGGAAGACAGTTGCCTGTGTTAACGAATGCGAGAAGCTGTCTATTAACTTTCCCCATTCACCGGAAGACATTAAAGAAGCAATGGAAGGATTTGGTTCTATCAGTGATGAAGTCGCAATCAACAACTGTGTTGCTGTAGTTGATGGGTATTTATTGAAGATCAAGGTCCCAGCAGAGCGTCATGTTGGAAACGTCCGGTCCTACTTCTCTGGTCACTACCAATGCTACGGTGTAAACATCCAGGCAGCTGCAGATCATCACTCCCGATTCTCTTTCATTGCATTGACCGCCCCTGGTGTCACAGGTGACAGAGAAGCCATTCGACGTTGCAATCTACTACACAGTTTTGTAGAGGCACTGCCTCCTGGCATTTGTGTCATTGGAGATGCAGCTTATCAAGCCAGCGAGCATATGGTTCCAATTTACCAGGGGGTTGACAGGTTGAACCCACTCTATGACAACTTCAATTTCTATGCTAGTCAGTTGCGAATCCGGGTGGAAATGGCCTTTGGTCTCATGCAGATGAAATGGGGTATCCTTTGGAGGTCAGTAGGTGTTTCGATTACCAGAGTAGGAGCAATGATCCAAGCTATTGCCCGTCTACACAACTTTGTCATGAACGAGAGACTTAGGCTGAAGAAGACATCGCGTGACCCAAGAGAGCATGTTGCTTATGATGAAGTTGCGGAGCAGTCCGGCTATCATCCTTCTGTCCCACATGATGAGAATGGTGATCCCATTCAGTTGACAGCGTTGGAAGAGCACGCCGGAGACCTTCATGGTGGGTTTTCGCATCTTCGTGAAGCCATGGCTCGGCGAGTAGAGAGCTTGCAGTTGCAAAGACCGGCTCAGAACAAGATCAAAAGAAGCAACAGGAAAAAAAGGAAACGAAATGAGCCATTAGAGAGTGCAGCGCTGCTCTAATTTAATTTCTATCTAGTCGCTGTCATCACTTCCATTATCCTGAACTACACTTTCTTCTTTGGGAATCTTCAGCTCTTCTTCCAATTTGAGTAGTCGCCTCTTCAGATGTGGTAGTTTCCTCTTTTTGTTTTTGCTAGAGCCATCCTGGATGTCAATATAGTTATCGCACATCCTGTCGTATTCATTGTACTTCTGCTGATCCATGTATGTCTTGCGCATTGCTACAGCTTCGGTCTGGCTCTGTTGAATTGCTGTTGTCGCCTGTTGAATGCTGGCCATCAGCTGTCGGTCTCTTTTGGTGCCGCTCGTTGCTTCTTCAGTATCAGAGTCGCGGGACGCTGGTGTTGATGCTTTCTGGGCTACCGAAGAGTCTGACGTCAAACCCTGGGGCATAAACACATTGTGTGCAGTGTCGATGTTGGGTTGCTCTGTTACCCGCTTGTCCAGGTAGTACACTGGGACTCCCGGCATGGCTGCCTTTCCACGAACAGTCAAATGCGTCCTTCTAAGGTACTCCTGAAAAGCTTGGTGTTGGCCTGATCTGGTCTTTGCAATCGTCACTTGCTCTCTTGCTTTCAAAAGATCCTTCATGTGTGCCTGACAGCTTTCGGAAGAGAGATTGCTGAAATCATTTGGGTTGATTGCTTGCTCTTCCACAGCATTGGCCAGCCACTCATCGACATTGTCTCCTGCGGGATCAGCGTACAGAACAATACCAACTGTCGCGTTATTCTCTGCATCATTATATGCGGCAGAGACGTCACTCCAAAAGGCCTTCACAGGGCTCTGTCCAGAGTTAAGCTCGAACGCCTTTCGGTCAAATCGCTTGGTCAAGGCCACAAACTGGTCAATGTACGCGGGAAGGAACACAGTATTGATAAGCCGGATCAAAGAGCGAATCTTCCTTTCCATAGTACTGGAAACAGTACTTGGTACTTGCATATTGTCATAAGTAGTTCCCATTTCGATCACCAGAGCCATCTGCCGCCTGCATTCAAACATAGAGGCTGAGCCGATGTTCTTACATCCAAAGTTCTTTGTCAGAAGACGCAGCTGGGTGGAATTAAGGTCCCCGCCCTTCAAGTCAAAGTACTTGTAATTGGGTGTATTTTCTCTTCCAACACGTATACCAACAGCAGTTTTGTACGGGCCTTTATTGGTTTTGCTTCGCGAGTTCATGTCCTCTGCGATAACCACCCGGTTTCTGTGGTCGAAAGTAAAGCCTTTCAGCTGATTGGGAAGTTCTTTCTTTTCTTTGGCTTTCTTCTTCGGTTGACTGGGTGGAAGTGGCGGCCTCCCAACTGTCTCGAATACAGCGGCGCCTGTAGGATTGGTAGCATTGGACGATTCCAAAGCTGCTTGCAATGGTGGTTGTTGGCGAGATTCTTGCACTGGTGTTCGGCGAGGCACTGCTAAAACTGGAAACCCATCTGCATCCAGGTCAGGCAACATCCTTCCAGGAGCAATTGGGTAATTGGGTCGAGCATTCCACAAGCTGTGACGAAAGTCGTTGACCATGATGTTGTTTGCTCCAGGAGGGGGGGTCAACAGAGAGTAGAAACCACTGTTGGGGAGGGCTGTGGCTGCCATTGTTTGTTGCATTGGTGGCTTTGGTTGCACTTGGCGAGAGAGTGCTGAGGGAAGACAGGGTTCTTGGATGTCTTGGACATGTTCGACCTCGTCTACATCAGCCAAAGGAGACTGCGCGAATTGATCAGAATGAAGGTACTCGCCGCCACCCTCATCATCATCACTGGAGCTCATTTCAGTCTATTTTGTGGGCTACTCATTGCAACTACAAACTGCTATTGCAGAACGATCCATTGGAGAGGTACGTATCCCCAAAAGACTCGTGCAACTGCTCAACAGCGACGAATGCAGCGATTCTTTGGCCTACATCTAATCTAAGATACTATTAAACAGTCCACCACTCATAGAGATCACATTATCCATTCATACAGCTAGCATTATCTATGTATTATGATATTCAATCTTTGCTTCGCTCTATTGTTGATCATGGCGACAGTCTCTTGTTCGACAGTGCTTTCTCCATGGTAAAAGACTCGTAAGGTGATCAAACAGAACAAACTGGCAAGCCGCCATGCTCGAACTGGCGAAGCTTGTGGAGGTGCGAAGAAAGAGCCCAACTGAAAGCACCTTCGCAGCACTGACGTCAGCATTTGAATGCCGCGAAGGTGCGAAATGGCGAAGGCGAAGAAATGATAAGACCAAGCCTGAGGACGAGATACTGCAGTATTTTATTAATTAAAATAGTAGCTGTCAATCGCCCACTGGTCATCACAGCAGTGGCCAGCCGAATACACGTGCTCGAGATCCGTACAGTACCTGTACCGGTCTCCAATGACCAGGTGGAAGGGGCCAGCTACCGTACCAGACATTTATTTAACCTCTAGCTAGACTGGAACAGCTTCCAGCCAGCGAATCAAATAAATCATACAACATACAACAGCTCATACAACGCAGGCAGCCTTTTATGCCAGCTTCCTCTCCCTATCTCTTTTGAAGAAGGCTTCCGTATTCCGTAGAGATCCATATCGGGACTAAGACTGCTTTGAAAGCTACATGTACCGGTTACCGGTACCACCCGTACTCGAGGACGTACTAGAGTACAATGACATACCTTGCTCGCAGCCACCGCAGTAGCAGGCCAGCTTTCTGAGCTCATCTATCTTTTGAAGCACCCGAGAATTCTCTCGCCTCTCTCACAATTTTTATCCTTCCTCGAGCTAGCCTAGTCCAAGAGCAGCAGCAGCAGCACGTCAAGATCAGAAGCAGCAAGTCAAGAGACATCCAGCCACTACAACAGAACACCACCATGAAGCTTGGAATCATGAATGCCCGCCGTGCTACCGTCACCAGCACTTCCATCCGCAAGTCTTTCTCCTTCGACCCAGCATCTCAGTCAATGGCACTTGCGGAACTTGAAGCAATGGGCATGGACCAACCATTGAACCAAGCCCCTTCGCCTGACAAGCCCGTCACACGCAAGAGTGACACCAAGAAGGGCAAGAAGACTGCAGCACTCCCCAAAAGGTCTAGTTCGAATGGTGCTCCCTCATCCAACACAGATCCTGCGGCAAGGTCAATGGACCAGTGCGAAGTCAACTACATGTCCTCGGAGGAAATGCACGATCTGACAGCTTTCATGCAAATTCTGGAACAGCAGAACAAGGGGACCCAAAAGAAAAGGATCAGAAAGAGCCTCAAACTGCCAGCCGTTTAATGATGAGGATGCGTCGCTACTACAGGGCAACTCGAGGTCGGCCATGAATAGGAGAACGAGGAAAGCTCCAAGCACAGATGAAGAATCAGAGAGGATGGACCAAACCTGGTCCCACACAAAGGCTCTTTTGCATAGTCACCAGCCACAGTTTTGATAAGAGTATTGCATTCAAAGTTTTTGCACTAGACTAGCTGTGTCTTCTGTCAACGAATACTCAAAGAGTGTTACGGTAGTACATGCACCGTTGCAGCCCCCTGAATGCAATCCAAGTTTGTTTGCCGTCCATGTCGTCGCCCGCTTTTTGCTTTCAGCGGCCCTCGACCGGTTGGTCCCTCATCCCTCACTCCCTACCGGTACTGGCTAGAGCTGGAAGAAACGAGCACGCCAGAAAACAAAGGATGACAAATGATTTTCTTGCCTAGAGGACGATACGTACTTTGTGGCAAAAGCTACAGCTGTACGTGAGAATGCGGCAGCTTGCTTGCTAATGAATGAATAACTGGCATCGGGCTGTATCAAACTAGCTACTAGCTAGCTAGCTCGATACGGTTGGCTGGATAGATTCTTCCAGCAGTGTTCTGCTTGCTGTTGATGCTGGTCACGCCACTGTAGAAAAAAGGGTTTGGGGATCGGCTGGGAGCGTTCTGAAACGCGTATCGACGTTCCTCAAGCAGCAATCCCGAATAGGAAGAGAAAGTTGCCAGCCGTCACAAAACTAGCAGAAAACAAACTAGACTAGCTAGCAAACAGCAACATCCAACAAGCAAGTTAGCGACACAAAAATAACACCGAGAAAACATGATGGAACACCGAACCTACTCCGCTGCAATGAGCAGCTTTGTACTCCGACGAATGCAAGACAGCGCCATGGCCAAATGGAACGTCCATGCTTCCTGCACAATTACAGCAACTCAAGACTCTGCAATCATAAATAATTCCCTCTATAATCGAGATGCCACCACGAGCAGGAGATGGCATTCATGCAAGCCAAATCACTCTTCCCACCGAAACAGAAATGGTCCCAGCAGAAGAACTTCATCTGCAGATAACGGGATATACGTAGCCGCAACTTGGCCCGCAAGGAAACGCAAACTCTCCGAGAAGCGGTCGCCCGATATGCGCAGCACTACTAGAAATGCCGCCACAGACACTGATGCCACTTCCGATATCAGGAGCAAGATCATCATTGGATTAAAGGCAATCGGGGGAAGCCACAACGTACCCACTCGTCTCACAAGCCATTCTTCATCCTACCGGTATGATCGACGCAATAGCGTCACATCGCACGCTGCATAGTTGTTAGGTAGAACGAAGTACATGTAATTGTATCAACGATTTATCAATACACGCCACTGATTTTAATTAATACAACAAATGGGTTATTCTCTTTGCTAGACTGTAGTCTCCCAGATTGTTCGTCGTTTGCTGAGTGCTACCAGGTAATAGGGCTCTGGCCCTGATGAGGCCACAGTAGTGGGTAGAGAGCAGCCGGGCAGCCGTGTCTTCCTGTGCAATGGTTTCTTGTTAGGTAGCTACCGGTAGCTCACTAGCTGAAAGAAGACTATTGCAGTTCTCGCACTACCATCGGTGCCGGTATGTGCATGGGTACCGTGAACGATAGCTGGATGGCCCAGTCTGCTGGTAGACCTTTGGGATGGTTCTGTTTTATGCTTTTGGCTAATGAAGAACGATTGGATAGATTCCTCTTGCTTTCCCGGTTTCCGGTGCTATGTAGTAATCATCGTCTCGTGTTTTCGTTCTCTGTGCCGCCAAGCAACCGGTGAACTTGATGCAACTGATGCCATCAGCATTCATATCATGGCTGCCTCAACATGATGCCAAGGAAGGAAATCAAACTAACCGACGAGGCACAGTGGAACTCTTCTCGGCAAGGATACAGGCTGTTGTTCCGTTCATGTGTCATTTTAAAGGTGAGCTAGAACTATGACGACTACTGCTATACTGATGGAAGACCTGGTTTTGTGTTGTTGTAAAGATTCTCTACTATGTGTTATTGATCTACATTTATGTAAAGTTGTATTTGAGATTGTTTCCCCAGCCCGAAGGGTATTAAAGCATAGCATCAACAATGATAGAGGTTGGTTGTCGGGTGTCACGGGTATTAACTTTGGACTTTCGTCGCGTGGAGGACGTTCGGACAAGCACTCTGCAATAGAGGCTGCCTAGCACAGGAACCACAAACCTGGCTACCTTCGATGTGACCCTTCAATTGAACCAACTGTATTCATCTCCGCAAAAATTGTTGTATAGCCCTGCACCCCACCAGATGCTTGCTCGTTGTGTATTGTATTGTGTTAGTCCCTGCAAATGGTGGTCGTTGCCCACTCACTTACCTGTTGTCCTAGACTGGAATGTACCGGTCAGGCTTTCTGACGCGCCGTCCAGAAAGAGTTGTTGTTGTCTGAGCTGTTGTTTGCTGCTGTGTGTCCGTCACAGGTTGTGTCGTTGTTGTCTTCTTCTTCTTGCCCTTCACCTTTGGCTTTGTCGACTTTTTCTTGGTGGCCGCCGCCCGTCTACGTTTAATTCTAGGTTGTTGAACTGCCACCCGACGTGGCTTCGCCTTGATTTGTTCTGCGATTCTCTGAGATGCAATCGCCGCCATGCGTCTCTTTGATCGTCGCAAAGTTGATTGTGCTGTGTCCACATTGTCCTCCTCATCGACTCGGTTGTCGACCAGTGGTTCATCAGCATCAACTTGTTGTTGTTCCTCAACTGGTAGTGGTTCCTCATCAGCTGCTTCCACCACTTGGCCAGTCACGAATTCACAATCCGTATCGTCCGGGGCTTCCAATCGTAGTGTCTTGTACTGCCGCATCAATTCTTTGACAAGGTCTCCACCATCCTTCATCAAGGCTGCGAGAATGTCATTGGGTACAACTCCAAGTAGCACACCATTCACCATTCGCATCTCCAATACAAATGGTTGTTGTCCATGCACACTGATCTTGAAGTGTGCCACATGCCACTTTTGAACGTATGGGACCACTGCAGTGCATGTGGGAACCACCGCTGCTTCGCATGTGATTGTGGCATTGGATGCCATCTTTTCGTCGTCGACGGTCAAGACTTTTTCTATTGTCTCGACGTCTTTAGTTGTTGTTGTTGGTTGTTGTTCTACTACTACGGGTGCTGCATCTTCCATGCAGACATCCTTGACCTTGCGATAGACAAATCGTCGTTTCGCAATCTGTTCTCGCGTATTCAAGGTGCAAATTTCGTCGTCAGCGTTGCGCTGAATTCCTCCGTGGTGCAAGTGGCACATGGCGAGTTCACACATGTAAGGGTTCTTTTCGTTGACCATGAACCAATGGGAGACTTGCTTGTCGTTTCCTTTCTTCGACTGGATAAAACGAACAAGTCCCTCGAGGTCTTGATGAACGGCATCAATTTGAATGTACAGTTTGGCTTTTTGTAGGTACGCTTTGTCGCTTTGGAACCATTTGTTGTTGGTGATCCATTTGGCCACTTGTTGGTATCCGTACTCTTGAATCAACTGCACGAGATCCAAGATGCGTTCATGGGGTGTGGGTGTGCCGACGGAAATGAATTGTTGTTGGGCTTCTTGCCAGAATTCGTATCGGGCCTGTGGCTCTTGTTTCTTAATGTCTCGATAGACTTCGTGTTTTTCTTCTTGTTCGCTCTCATCAGAAGAGTACCCCACTACAGTGTTGACGGGAGCAAAGGATAAACGGTTTCCGTTGCTACGTTCGGTGTCTTGACCGTAATGGGCCTTCCAGCGAGCGTTGGCTGATTGACTGGGTTGGATGTGACAGCCTTTGGGCCGGTGCTGGTTGTATTTGTCGTATCCGTAGTGACCATGCTGATCCGATGGAACCAGGGAAAGGTCGTAGGCACCTAGGTAGCGACCGTGCTGCTGGAACTCCACATCAGGACTCGTTCCATACGTGTGCAACAGTGCCGCTGTTTCGACGCATGTCTTGTCCAACTCGTCCAGTTGGAACTTGATTGGGACTTCCTCTGTCGCAGGAACGTCCTTGTTGTTGTTGCCCGTCGTCTCCTTGGCGACCTGGAGAACGGGGGTCTTCATGGTGTTGCTGTTGTTGTTGTCGGTGGTCCATGACCACGAGAGCAGCTTGATGATAGAAGAAGAGAACTTCATTTTGCAATTGATAGGTATTGAATAGAAGATGGATAGAAAAGGTAATTGAATGTAGGGGGCTTGATCTGGCCTAGGCTTATCAACAATCGCGAAAGTCTTCCTTGTTCGGTTGGGTATGCAACTCTAGCAATCCGGTTGAACAAAAAAGTGAGCTCAACATGGTGACATCCCATTTTTCCACCCCAATTTTCAGATGACAGATTCTGCCAGATGGAAAATGACAGGTGACAAGATGAGACTGAGACACTGATGAGTACCAACTCTGGACCCTATAACACCCGACAATACACTTCCTGGGCCTCTCGGTGTACTGGCTACTAGCTAGTCGTCTGGATGATAGCTGACTGTGTAGGCGAGGGTCATCGTCGTTGTTGGCTGCTTTCCGATGATGCCGCTGTTTCGGGAGGAGCTGCGGACGGAGCTGCGGAGTCGAGTCGAGTCCGATCAATCAAAGAATCGTTCATTCACGATTGAACGTTTGAACGGACGAAGCGAAGACAGACGTCTTTGTTACACGATTGAATCATTCCCTATCGATTGAAGATTCGATTCTGATTCGATTCGAATCTTCAATCGAATGATGAAGATCTCAAAGCTTGCTTTGGGTTCGCTCTCGGCAACCCGGACCGGGACGGAGGATGGAGTTGCAAACCTTGAGCAAGCCCAAACAATGGTGGGTTTTCAGGCAGCCAGTCAACCGGTACAGTACGAGCGGAAGGGTACGCGGCTAAATGACACCCGGGACGCACGGGCCATTGTAAATGGCTGATGGAGCTTCGGACACTACTAGTACCATCCGCACGACGGGTGAGGTTTTTGGCGAAGTTTTGTAAAAATTTGGCTTATTTGGCCAAAAAGCATGATTATGACTGCTTTTCTACCGGATAAGAGATTTTTTTTGAATGTACGGTATGATACTTTAGTCATCTACGGCCTGTGATACTGTACCGGTACCGGTACCTGGTAGCCAGGACCAATGACTTCACGCCACAAACCATCATCACAAAAAAGCCCCGCCAGTTAGTTCAAGTGCTTGTACTGTACGGTACTTTACCGCTTCGGTCACAACAAACTCTTCACAATTTTTTGGAAAAACCAAAGAAGTAAAAGATGACGATCAAGGTAGCCTCCAAGAGCCCTTCCGCCCTGGCGGTACTCCTTCTGTTGATAAGTGTGAGAACCCTACAAGCCTCCAATAGCAGCAGTCTGGATATTGATAATAATGTTACCCAATTCGAGTGCGACGCCAATCAAACCGTTACCAAGTCACAAGCCCAATTCGTCTTTGAAGGTCGCAATGATTTCTTGGGGAGCAGGGAACGTACAGTGTTGGCAAATGTATTTGTGGAAATCTACAACAAGATTACGGAAGATTTATGCGACAGTTATTTTCGACGATTGGAGCGTCTCGACTTTCTCAGCATGTCCAACTTTCTGAATGAGACGGTGACTTATCTGGATGAAGATCTGTTGGAAGAGCTGGACGGTGGAGGTGGCCCTCCCATGGGTGGTCCTCCATCGGCTCAAAACGATTCATCCTTGCCTCGCGATGGGCCACTTCCTGATGGGCCACTTCCTGATGGCCCTCTGCCGGATGGACCACTTCCCGATGGGCCACTTCCTGATGATGGACCGCTTCCAGATTGCCCGCCTCCAAATGGGCTTCCTGATGGACTTCCTGATGGGCTACCGGATGGGCTTCCTGATGGACTTCCTGACAGGCTTCCTACTGGACTTCCGGATGGCCCACCTCCTGATGGACCGCCACTGGATTGCCTGCCACTGCCTGATGGGCTGCCTGGGGATGGGTCTCCACCAGGGCCGCCAGGAGGAGGAGGTCCGCCGGGTCTACCCCCGGGCCCTTTTGGGAGACGACAATTAACAGAGACGACAACAACTACGGATACGAGTGCGGTCAACGAAACGAGCACGGAAGGAATGGAAGTCATCTTTGAGGTGTCTGGAAGTTGCAGAGGTTGCCCTCGGTCGGATGTGGGGACTTTTGCTCTTTTTGATGATTCCTTTCGTATTCGCTTTCGAGTTCTAGAGGAACATGAAGTTGCTGCCAAGCATCATCATCTCCGTCAATTGCAGTTCCCACCATTGCCACCCATGCCACCTGGTGCGGGATCAACAACCGAAGAGAAGAAGAAGAAGAGGAACAAGGCCCACCAGCGGGTGGTCCCCCAGGGGACGGTCCTCCCGCGGATGGAATGCCAGAAGATGCTCCCATGCAAAATGGACCACCTCCCTTTTTGACAGATACCAACTCTTCGGATTGTACGTGTGCGGCAGGGCTGCAACCAGAAATGCCCGCTGCACCGTCCGTGGATAACCTTTTGGAGTTCCTCGGTGAACGGCTGCGGATGCTGCAAACACAACAAGGGCTCTTTGAAAATATTGCTTTGGTGGATATTGTGCAGTTGGGCATTGACGAAGCAATAATCACCTCGGGAGGCGCTGTTGCTCAAGATTCAGGCGATCGCTCATCATCAGAGCCTGAAAGTACTACCAAATCCGCTACTGATACTACTACTGTTCCAAAGTTGAAAGGCAATGCTGAACCCGATTCTTTAGCCTACTCGAGCGCCAGGAAAATGCTCTCCTTGGCATTGCAGCTATTCATTGGATCTGTCGCAGCATTATCGGTCGGGATACTGTAATATAATGGAGATCTCCCAAATGTCAAGGAGTTCGTATGTGTACAATTGTTTCTAGTATTTGCAGGATGAACCAATCTCTCTCTTT